GCTAATCTTTTCAGCAACCAAGCTCATTTTTTTTATCCCATCTTTTCAAGTGTTTCCTTTCTGAAGAAACTGCAAACTTTTCACATTTGCTTTTTGCTCCTGATTCTCATTGCAAGTCTTATTGAAAGCAGCCACCAATACCTATGCCACAGCCTGAATATTTGAAATTTTCTCTGCTAATTAGTCTCTTGCCCTTACTCAAAATTTGTTGCAAAGTTTCAGGACATAGGCAAAATGAAGACAAATTTTCTGCCAAAATATATCAACCCTGCTCTCTAGTCCAACTGGCAGTGAGTCTTTGTTCTCAATTGAAATCTCTTGAGCTTGGTCTTCTCTGTCAGCATTGCTATCAGTATGCTGGTTCTGTGAGCTCTGACCAGTTTTGCCCATTAACTCTGCTTACAGCATTCTTGAGCTTCTCTAGCCAGCCTTTCTGAGCCTTCCTAAGCTCCTTTCACAAACCAGCTCCACATAGTCCCGGATAGTCACAGCAATGACTCCTCTCTGACTCCTAAAATCTGTCTTAGTCACTTTTTCCTCAGTGGGACAAAACACCAAACACCCTCGGTTTAAAAAAAGAGAGGTTTGTTTTGACTTGTAGTTTTAGTCCATGGTTGTCTAGCTCCAAGGCAGAAATAGGATGTCAGAGGGGCATGGTGAAGAGAAAGGTGTTCAATTCATGGCAGCTAAGAAGGACAGAGAAAAGAGAGAATCCAGGGACAAAAATACACTTTTCCAGGTCATGCCTGAGATGATCCACATCCATCAAGTGCCAACTCCTAGCAGCACGTTCAGGAACTGAACTCAACAATGGAGGAATCCACTGATGAGTCTAGCACCTCCATGACCCACTCATCCTCCACACACATGAGGCTTTGGGGAATTTTTTTTCTCTAAACCATAAGAGGGTACTTGGGTTGAAAGAAATAAAAACCATTGTTCTTTGCATATATTCTGGTGCTATTGCCATAAGTTTTACACTCTTGTCTTCATAACTTTGTTAATTAAAAATATTGTATTTGAAAGCTCTTATAACATATTTTGCAAAAGACACTCAGCCACCTTATTTTTCACAAAAGAGCTAAACATGTTCACTGGAAGAAAAATAACTTCCTCAATAAATGGTGCTGGAAAAACTGGCTTTCCACATGCCAAAGACTACAATTAAACCCATGTCTATCACCATACAATGAACTAAAATGGAATGGATCAAAGAGTGAAATATTAAAACAGAAACACTAAATCAGTTAGAAGAGATTATAGGCAGAACTCTTAAAGACATAGGTATAGGCAAAGATTTCATGAACAAAACCCCTATCACACAGGAAATAATACAAATAATCAATAACTGGCATCTCATCCTATTAAAAAGCTTTTGCACAACAAAAGAAATCACCAATAGAGCAAAAAGATGACCCACAGAGTGGGAAAAATTTTAACCAGTTGTCCTTCAGACAAAGGACAGTTTGTCTTAAAATATAAAGAACTGAAAAAAATCAGACCCTCCAAATTTAAAAACCCAATAAAAAAATGGACATCTGAGATGAATACATACTTCTCAAATGAAGAAATGCAAATGGCAAATAAATATATGAAAAAATGCTCAACATCATTGGTTATTAGAGAGATGAAAATTAAAACAATATTGAATTCCATCTCACCCCAGAAAGAATGCCTATCATCAAGAAATCAACCAGTAACAAATGCTGGAGAGGCTGTTGGGAAAAAGGAACCCTACTCCACTGCTGGTGGGAGTGTAGACTGGTGAAGCCACTGTGGAACTCAGTGTGGAGATTCCTCAAAGAACTAGGACTAGAGGTCTCATTTGACCCAGCTATTCCCATTCTGGGTATCTTCCCAGAAGAATTAAAAGCATCATGCCACAGTGATATATGTGCATCACACTTTGTAATAGCTAAATCTTTAAAACAGACCAATTGCCCACCCACAGAAGAACGGATAAAGGTGATGTGGGTTTTTTTTTTAATGTAATGGAGTAGTACTCCGCTGTTAAGAAGGATAAATTTGAGGCATTTCCAGGTAAATGGTTGCAACTTGAGATCATATACTTAAGTGAAATAAATTGGACTCACATGTGTAAACATCTCATTGTCTCCCTGGTGCAAGAAACTGAAAGAATAAATAAGGACCAAAATGTACAATAGATATTGTAAAATTGGAAAAAATTTTTCAAAAGGAAACAAAGAACTAGGTTTGGGGAAAGGGGAAAAGAAGAAGGGAAAAAGAAAAAAAGATTAAAAAAAGGAGAAAATGGAAACAAAACTTTGTGATTAGGGAGGGGAAGATGGGTTGAAGAGAGGAGAGGGGATTGGGAAAAAAATATAAATCAAAATATGTCATGTAGGGCCGGGGATATAGCTCAGTGGCACAAGTGCCTGCCTGGCAAGTGCAAGGTCCCGAGTTTGATTCCCAGTACCAAAAATCTATCTATCTATATCTATCTATCTATCTATCTATCTATCTATCTATCTATCTATGTATCTATCTCATGTACGGGTATAAATTTCCTATGATGAATATGATCATTATGTATATCTAACTTGTACCAATAAGCTTAACAAAAAATTTTTAATAAAATGTAAGATCCAGAGTTTATAGCATATATATTTAAGTAGCATATATTTATTGCTGTACATAATTTATTGCATACATTAAGGGTAAAATTTCCTGTGGGCAATAATAAAATGTGATGTATAAGTTCAAAAATAGATTGAAAATAAGTGATAGTGGTTACTCTATTTAGATATCCAAACTCAGTTTTTGCAGAGGAATACTTAAATAGAACTTAACATCTTTCCATAACAGATTGAATTTTGGGCAAAGATTTGATAATCTATTTTTTTGCCTTGAGACATTCAACTGGATCAGTTAAAAGTATCCAAGGTATTGAGGCTCTATTATTACTGTTTGAAATAAATAAACCGAGCTTGTTTGTTTTGATATTGTTTTAAAGAAAATATTTATTCTTGAGTAATTTCTTAATGTAGTGTTCAGAGAAACAAAACCAATTATATAGATATATATAGATACAGAGAGACATTTATTATGAGAGATTCTTTCATACGATTATACAAGCTACCCACCTTCTGCCCACTACAAGCAGGAGGTCCAGGAAGCTGACTGGGAAGTCCCAGCCTAAACTCGACTGAGTCCAGCTCCCAGTCTGAAAGCTTGGGAACCAGGTACTCTGTGCTCTAAAGGTAGGAGATGATAGCTGTCCCAGCTCAAGTGGAGAGAGCAAATTTGCCCTTCCTCCAACTTGGTGTTTGGCTCAGGTTCTCAGTGATTGGATAATGCTCCCTCACATTGGTGATTAATGAGTCAGTGGCTGATATCTTCCAGAAACATCCTCACAGAAACACCCAGAAATACTTTTACCAGCCACCCCTCATTTCTTATCCCAGTCAAACTGACATAGTAAAGTTAACCATTACACCCTATTTTTCAAAGTATTTATTGCTGTATTCCCTCATGTTGCCAAACTCTTGACTTTGTTGTAGCTTGATACTTTGCAGTTCTCCCTGACCTCTCCATTTTCTGTTCTCGAACAGAAAAGCTGAGTTGTACTCATCTTTTCTCCTTAGTTTCCACTCTTTAGTTCCTTCCTGCTTCTCCTTCTTAAAGGAAAAACTTGAATACTTGCTCTCCTTTAGGATGTATTCTAAGCACTTGATCTGCATTACCTCTTAATTTTAAACATGATTGTCTGAAGGCCTGGAATTTTGGGATGCAAAATTGATAGCTGCTGAATAATCAATTTTTATCAAATGTCTTGGTATTTGAATCCTCATGTTCCATGTTAAGAGATCAGTCAATGACTCACATTTGCATTTATTCAACACATCAGTTTATAAAAAAGGATAAAAAATAAAATGAAAGTGTGACAGATGATTATTGGGTTATTCATCCATAGGGGCAAGTAACCAATTGCAAGTTTTGACACTATTAAATGCTAGAAAAGGTAAGATTTTTGGAATTGTGTTCAACTTTGAATCCTAAAATACTATACCCTGATTTCTCTCAGATCACATAAATCTTTTGCCTTTTACTAGAATACTGACTAAATTTTATTAGAACATCTGATACATATTCACTCGTTCATTTTTCCTTTCATGCACACACATGCACAGGAACACACATTTGCAAATATGTAAAGTATACTGAGTAGCAATTTTCCTGTTTTTTCAGAATTTCAGCTGAAGGTTCATTGCTGAGAAAATAAGTTAAAAGTACTTCAGAGACAAAAATTAACACTCTGTGTACTTTGTGTGGGCCAGATGACTTATGTGTATTATTTCAAGAAATCTTTGAGGATTTCTAAAGATTAAGTATTATTATTTCTAATTCATATCCAAGAAAATTGCGATTCAGTTTAGGAGGTTTCATGAAATCCAACATCTATGCCCATTCTCTCTAGGATTCTGCCACCTCAAATAAGGACCCACCTTTCTCAGTATTGATCTTCGGCATGAGAACAGCCATCTTTCTGTTTAGCTCTGTCATACTGAGACCTTGCACCTCAAAAGTTCTGTCAACAAGTAAGTTTGATTTTCCCAGGAATCCAGCAGAAGGAAGCTGAGTGAATGGGGCTGGGAAATATACTGTAGAAGATGATATGTGACAGCGGGAACATATTTTAGTACATCAGTGACAATCACCACACCCATTATCAATCCATTGAGAGTCTTTATTACCATGGATGACACAATATTGCAGAGGGATTCTTTATGAATACAGTTATCCAACTAAATTAAATGACACTAGCTTTGTGCTCAGTGTTGCTATATTCCAGATTGTGTAGTGATAGAATATTTGAAAAGAAATATAGTTTTGCAGAAATAAGAATTATTACTGTGTGACTATATTATTTTTCGTGACACATTTGAAGAGTATAATATAAGAAAAGCTAAATTCAGGAGAAGAGTGAAGACATTTTGTAGATTTCAAAGCATTGATATTAGCTTTAAAGAAGTAAACAGTCTAAAATGGTGTCCAAGGCACTGCACATCTTTTTCTCTGAAAAGAAAAAAGATAAAGCATTTTAGTACCACTAGACTGATTTGTGGAAATATTTTCCTAGATATTTTATGCATTGTGTATTGAAGAAACAGGACGTGTACTTTTGCTCATGTTTGTTTTACATTGAGTAAAGGTCACACTGTGCTGAAATCCTTTAGTATTTATTTCTGATTTCTGACTTCTGATTGAGTAACCTGAACTGACTTGCATTGTATAATAGTATTAGCGAGACGTTTCTGAAAAGGTCCTCATGCTGTTCACTCCTAGTTGTTTCTATTAGACTAGTGTCATCAGAGTGTTCTTTCTGATGGAGGAATTAGGGGAAGGAGGAATTAGGAGAGACTCATGGACAGCAGGGAGAATATTTCAAAAACCTTTCTTTTCCAGGTTCCCCTTCATGTCACATTGTTTGCCTTTATAGCATATATTTTTACTTTCTAGCCCCATTCCAGGCATGTTCTACCAAACTCCCACTATAGCTTCGACACCCAACCAAGCACCTTAAACAGTAATTAATTATGCCATTAAAGCCATTAAGTTTGAAATTGTCTTGTTACTATGAATTTGTTTATAATTTGGAATTTCAATTAACACAGACGTACTGGGACTACTGCACTGTTTAGCTTGCAGAGGGAAACGATGATTTGGGAGAACCAATTCTGCATGGAGTATCAAATGTCTTTTATATACTCTTAATATAGCTAGCGTTTGTGGTGTTAGAGTTGACACCAAATTTGTGATTATCAAAAGTTAATTTTTATATTAAAATTATTAAAGTCTTATAATAATCATTTTTAGGTAGATATAAACGCTAGCTTGTTTCTTCATAATCACTTTGGTAATAATTATCCATGAGTATTTTAGACCAACTTTTCTTTTAGGACTTTTCAGGGCATTTAATGCACGGCTGTTGGCAAATACCTACCAAAAACTCTTAATGGTTAGAACACCATCTATGGTTCTCTTAGGCTATCAGTCTTGGCCTAGACAGAAAAGAACATTCATAAGAAGTTCTGATTAAATTAAAATTGACTTATATTCTGATTAATTCATTATCAAAAACAGTTGGTCATCTTATCAAGGGCTAAGACAATATATTTGATTATATCATTAGTTGTATTATTACTTTCATGACTCACTCCCATAAAGTTCTATTAATTAAGAATTAACATATTTTGCATTAATATAGTTTCTTACACAGAAATGATCCCGTTACTCTACCTTTTCTTCCGGAAGCATGGAGGCAATCGTGGGGTCTACACCGGAAGTGAAAACATTGGCGGTGCTGGGTTTTGGTGAAGTTGAATGCATAAACACTCCTGCATTGTCAGGCCTTAAGTTCACCACTTCTTTTTGTAAATATGGTATCACTCCTCCTCCTGGCTGTAGAAAATTGGAATGTAAATGAAATGGTGATAGGTTTAAATAGGTCAAAATTGGGAAGGATGTAAACTAGCAAGATTGAGATGCAAAGCAAGCATTATATGCAAGAAATACCTTTGCTTTCTAGATCATAACCTATTTTTAATAGTTTTTAAGTTTATTCCACCAATATAATTGCCTCTAATATTTGCTTCTAAGCAAGAGTGTGTAGAATAACATCTGAAATCCTCAATAATTAACTGAGGAACTGGGTAAATCTTGACTAAAAATGATTACTAAAGGAACAAACAGCAATTGTTAGCAGATTAAAAATGAAATTTATATAAAAAGCAGCATTGGTGAAGGAGCCTACAGTGTCAGCTGTTTCATTCTGGTTGCGGGTGAAGTGCTGTGAGTAATCTTACCATTAGGACAGTTTCGGGCACTGTGCCCAGGAGCGGATCAAGTGCTGATTGCTGCTGTCTTTCTGTTACACCCTGGGAAACAGAAGGTTTAAAATTGTATAAATGAAGGCTATCATGATATAGCCAAGCAGTCAAACACTTCCTAATTTCTTCAATTGCTTTCTTGAAAACCAAAAGTTTAGATTTGAGAAAAAGCAAGTCCTGGTTTTACAGACGGTGGGATACCAGTACTGCCTCGGTTCTGGAAGGTCTGCTTCTGAATACTCCCTGCGAGGCCCTGCTGGGCTGTTGAGCATAAACAGCACCCCCCCCCCGCCCCCCGCCCAGAACCCCGACAGGGGGCACAGTTGTCTCTACACACAACAGCATTAGGAAAAACAAAAAACAATGTCATAGTCTTTTCTACAGCTAGTCACAAAAACACCAAGCATCCTCAGTAGGATCCTCTACTAGGACTACCGCTTCTTCCGGGATCGCAGCTTTTGCCTTGTTCCGTTATCCTTGCCTTCTACGTGAGAATCCTTATATCATTGAACTATCCCTATCTCTGAGACTATCCACCCTGAGCAAAGCACCATTCCCGCAAACTCCCTCCAAAGCCACCTAACACAGCCCAAAGCCTGAGAAGTCATCCTAAGGGCTTCCTGTGCAGACAACCCACAGCGCCCCCATGTGTGGTCTCCTCACAGTAATGTGTGGACAAATCCAGCTTTGTTCAACTAGACTGTTCCTGGTGGTCTTTGGCTGAAAGACACATTGACATAAACATGACAGCGTAGTGCCATGGTGGTAATTAAACAAGTATTTTCAAAGGATTTTTCAAAGAGGAGAATCATGCATTTACTCACAGTTTCTGCTGGCTGTGTAATGTATCCATACTGAGCATAAAATGGTATCTGTCAGGTTTTTGAAAAATGCAGCAATTAACATTGTCATGAATTTGTAGTAGTAGAAGATTGCTTAAATTATATATATTTATACTAATTAAGTGCTTTTTAAAAATGTCATATTCTTCAGTTGATAAAAATTATTATGAAGTTACAACATTTTGGAATGCTATGTCACTTCTAGGCTAAAACTCTTTTTCTTCCTAAACTTACATAGCATAATTGGGGTTAGTATTACCAGTTATTTAAAGCATAATTTTAAGTTTCAAGTCAATTGCTTTTGACAGGTTTTAAAGTAGTGGTTATTAATAAAGGCATTTCCATTCTAACTAAAACAATGGAAGCCATGTATAAAGCACATGAAATTGCACTATACTTCTGAAAACTTGTTGCATGTTCACAGTATTCAACATACTGATATCTAACTAGCTCAAGATCTATTGATTAAAGGCATCTTTTATCAAGACAGCTACTCTAATTTTTGCTTTTCTAATTTTCAGAATTAATTATGTGAATTAATTTAAGTAATAATAAAGGTGGATGCTGGTAAATTTTAAATGTGAGAAAATTTTATTTTCAAAACGATTCAGCTTTTGGTTTCTGATTTTTTTAGAGTCCATTCACTGACTTCATTCATTTAAAATATAAACTCATTTAAATATAAACCATTTAACACATAAACCATATAAATTCATTTTTATGTAAACCATTATCAGATAGTTTACACAAGTGATTATAATGAGAAAGAACTGTCTTCTTACATCTTCCAAGCCAAGCGGTTGAGTATTTGCTCTAATTATATGCAGTGTTTTCCCCTCTAAATATAGTCAGATACTGTTTCTTTTGGGAATTTACCCTATTCTCAGTTGAAACCTATTGGATAGAGCTGGACATGCAGCTCCCTAGTAGAGCATTTGCTTATCACACAGAGTCCTGAGTTCACTCTCTAATGAGGGTGCATGAGCACGCACGCACACACACACACACACACACACACACACAATTAAAATCAAATATGTATAGTACCTGCTCCTCAAATTGTTGTGGCCCTGTTTGCTGGGGTGACTGTGTGGCTGTTTGCTGAGGTTGTTCCCAGGGTAGGAACATGTAAACAGGGTAGTACTGGTTTGTCTATTCAGAAACAGAGAAGTAGACAAGAGATTCCATTAGATCAGTGTAGGCCATTTTTTATATTCTAACCTGTATTTTGTACAGGCGCTCTTACTCTTGGCTAAGACTCAGAATCACATGCTGAGCCTTTTCATTTGTAATCTAACAGTGAGGCTTTGATTTATTATTCTAGTTTAGGATCCAGGCCTAATTTGTATTTTTCCAATTTATCAGCGGGCATGGTGGCTCAGGCCTGTAATCCCAGCACGTAGGAGGCTGAGGTAGGAGGATAACTGTGAGTTCAAGTCTAGCCTGAGCTACAAAGTGAGTCATCAAGGAATCTGTGGTAAGTCAAAGTGGAGAGCCACTTTTCCAACGTTAAACAAAGGGTGATGAATTGTGTTCCAGCTCAACTCTTTGGGTATACTGGGATTCAGAATTTAATCCCATTAAGACTAAACTTCCTGATACTTAAAATGAAGTAATTCTGTACATCATAGGTCTAACTCTAAATGCTTATGAGATAGGATGAGGTAATGTCTAGAAGTAAGTTTTGTTTTGAAATGGGGGTTAGGTGAGATAAAATTACTGCATAATTCTAATTACAGAAGAGTAAAGTGGTGTAACTTTATGAAAGCTCAGTACTCTGCTGGTGAATAATATAAATTATGCATAGCACAGCATCTTTGAACCTAGGATAATATAAATTAATTATCTTATATTGATAGCATTTTACATATTAATACAGTGATTTTACTAGTTTGCATTCATTTTTAAAAGATTCTCTTATTTAAAACAAATCATTACCACTTAATTATTTTATGGAGTCAAATAGAAGCACTGCATACCAGAACCTGGAAATACTTTCAGCAGAATTTTATAACTGCCAAATAACATGGGAAAGTGTTTCCTATGTTTGCATCATATCATGCATTGTCAGTCAAATCAGGGTAGCATACACTTTTACAGCCCTGCTGCAGAAGAGCTAGTAATATAAATGCATTGCTCTATGAGACAAAATTTGGGCTTGTGCAGTCAGTCCATGGTATAGCTTTTGAGTTGTTTTCAAATGCCAGTACCTTAGATGCAGAGAGAACATGATTTGGGATTTAGTGAGCTCCTTTTCTCTCAACATAGCAATGTCCTGGGAATACAAGGGTCCTAGAGACTCAGCTTCCTTTTCTGAAGGAACTAAGTGACCCCAGCATCAGTAAACTAATGCCAGCTCAGACACCACTGTATGAGTGATTACAGCCTTGCAAGTGGAGAGCTGGAGAGTGGGAGGAAACACTTAAGAGCATGTAAGTAGCAGCACTCTTGTTTAACAGTGGTATTTTGCTCACTTACCTGTGCTTGTTCTTGAGGCGTTTTGAAGGGAAACACATAAGGCAACACCTGCACAAGAAGAAGGATGTAAAAAGTTATACTTGACTTTGTTATTCAGAATCCCCGGGCTGCTTTTCATAGAGCTGGTCAGTGAGGCTGAATTAGCAGTGATCCACAACAAAGGTTATCTACTGCATGAACTATTATTAACATAACTTGTCTTTTCTTTTTTAGATAACTTTTTTTTAGGCATTGTGTTTAACACTTGTTTTAACTCTTTCTGGATGTATTGTTAGAACAGCTGATTTGAATTATGTCTTTCATGTTAAAAATCAGAGAAAGAAGGAATTATTTTCAATGATGGTGGAAACATAAGTGAGACAAAAAAAATTCTTGACTAGGACTACTGTCTTATTTCAAACTTATTCATATTCATTTTCACATCCAGTGTGTGCTTCTGTTTTCTTAGGACAGCAAGATGGAAGAGGCGTGACTTACAGGATTAGGGCCTGGTTGGGTTTGCGATGGTGCTTGAGGTTGTGAGGGGTCCAGCTGGCCAGTCTGGGCTCCTTGGACAAAACTGACTTGTCTTGGGAAAGGGATCTCATTTGGGTACGGTCCAACAAACTGGTCCAGAGTTGACAATGAGATCTGAGAGTGTCCTGGAATCGGAGCCTGCTGCGGCAGTGGGATGCCAGAGAAGGGAGGAATCCAGGAAGCAAGGGGGCCCTGGAGCACACAAAAGACAGTATTTCTCGTTCATACAGAAAAAAATAAGAAATAAACTCAGACTTGAGCAAGAAAGAGGTGAAATATCTAAACAGTTTCTGGATTTTCAGAGCTACATTATGAAAAAGACAGCATCCTAAATCACAAGGCACACGTATAGTGCTAAATTCTCCATGGTCGTGACAGATTTGGGACATAGAAAAGTTGGTAAAGGAGCACAATTGTTGAAAGTCACCAGATCAGCTGCAAATCTTGTTTTTGTCCTGTTCCCCATTGGTGAACTGGATAGGATTTTGTGATTTTTCTTATAGTTGTGATAATTAGTATATAGCATACACCAGGTTCTTTGCAGATGAATGCTAATTGGATGATAAGTTTTACTTTAATCTTCAAGTAAATGGTGGTTAGGATATATAAGATGAATTTGAACATATAGGACAAATTTATAATTGTTAAAGTGAGATTTCAGACATGGAATATTGATTTTTTTTGTTCTCATACAAAATACCAGTAGACATGAACAGTGGACAAATATTTTCCTTAAATTGACATTTTAGGTAGATACCTGAAGCCGCAGTGGCAAAAGTTGACCATTATTAAGGTTCAGAAGTAACTAGAAAAGGAGAAATAATATGAAAACAAGATTATTAGGTATGCGAAAGTGATTAAGAACAATGTTTACTATAAATGTAGCAAAAGTCAGAGCTCACTGATGGGTTTCTTGTTAGAAGTACACATTTTTCCCACTGGCTTACAGTCAATTACAGTGAGTACAGACAGGTTAGAGTCGAAGGCAGACTTGGGCTTTAACAACATCACTGCCACTGTGTGTGAAATTGCACAACTTTAGCCCACAACTTTATCCTGTGGTTGAGATTGTTGTTTTATACTTTTATACAGCTATGAACACCCATATTGTGTGCATTAGAATGCAATGTATAGGAGCTGTTGTACCTGCCTTTGAAGAATTTGCAATCAAACAAGGGGGATAAAATAATACTTTGGAAGGAACCCAGTATATATAACAGACATAAAGTTGGGAATTGGTTTAGATATGTGTAAAAGTTAGATAGGATCCAGGCTATAGCAAGGACAAACTTGTATGTCTTCTCATTGAAATTTCCTTATGAAAATGGAAGAAATTATTTCAGCTATTTAAACTAACCTCATTGCTGTTGCTAGCAGACATAAGGTGCCGTGGGATAAGCTAAAAACACAACACAAGAGAAAACGGAACTGGTTAAAGAAGGGATTGTTATAGGTTTACATGATAAGATCAAGAGTTATGAAATCACTTACCGGGGCTGACAGAGTAGCTCCCAGGAGTCCAAGGAAAATTATAATTTTCATTTTCAGATTATATACCTAGAAAATGAGTTGTAGTACTTAGCTTTAAAAATACTCTCTACTCAAAAATCATGATAAAAATAAAGCGTGACAAAAGTAATTAGGTTTCAATCAGAAGCATGTAAATTGGGGAAATATTTTGTTATATACTTATATTTAAGATTTAAAATTAAAAATTTCTATTTATAAATCTTTATAACAGAACTTTTTCTTTTCTCCTACAGCAGCTGTTTATAGAACAAAAATTATTTGCTTGCCCAAAAGATTCATCTTGTGACAGACAATGTAACTGAATGGGTTGCAGAGAAGAAATATCCCCTTTACGCTATTTGAGGCCCATGACAAGTTAACCACCCAGGTGCTTTTCATGAAGATGATCTGCAGTTCTACATTGCAAAAGCACCAGAATAAAGATCTGATGATACTAGCTTCATGCAAGATAATTTCTATTTAGAAGTCTAATAATATTACAAAATATTAAATATATGACCTGAGTCAATTTTTTCCACTTTGGAGAAATGGCTTATAAAATTAAACTGTAGCATTGACTTGTAGTGCAACCCGTGGAAGTATGTGAGCTCTCTTTTGATGGGAAAATTTCTGCCATAGTTCAAATCACTGACTTTACCAAGTATCTAGGGTGACCTCAGTAGTCTAGCCTACTGATTTGTAGCAGTAAAATTATGAAAGCAAAGATCTGATATCTTACCTTATTCCTAGGCCTAAGAAATCTAGAACCATGCAAGATCTGTGATCTTTTTCTCTACCAACTCTGCTGCTTGGAATTCCTCTTAAAATTTAAAACCCATCTTTAGAAAAAAAAGGACCAATCATTTTTCAAAGGCACCAGTGATTCAGTGGGTTTCAGACAATGGCTTAGCTAATAACCCCTTTCCTAATCATCCGGTGGTATAGGGCTTCCCACACTTGTAGTAATGTTATTAAATTATCCCCTGAGAAATGTTTTCCTATGATCATTTCGGGCTACTCCTTGGTTATGACTACCTCTTATAGAATAATTTTATTTTACTCCTTTTGTCATCTTTAAAATGATACTCTAATTGAGTAATATTAAAACCCTTTAATAAACTCAAGGATAAATGGGTGATTATTTTTATTTTGAGAGCAAAAGACAAAATTGTAAGACAGAAGGCATAGGTCTAAAACACAAAAATCCAAAACCTAGTTATTGGCAAAAGTTTGCTTCCGTGCTTCACTTGGCTCAGTAAATGTGAATTAATTTCATTTGGTTTGACCTTGAAAATCCTGGTATGCTTCCCCTTGTCCGTGGGGTAAAATCCCTAAAAAATTGCTAAACTCTGTATATTCATTAAATGTATATCCCTGAGGGAACGTGTAGCTTGGAATAAATAAATATGAAGCACGATGGCCTACATTAAAAATAATGGTAAATGAATGCTTGTATTTTTAAAATTCTCTTGCTAATTATAAGTTTAACATTCAAAAATATATCTAAGTATTACTGCCTGTACATCGTTATTACTTACGTTTCATTCCTAAAGTGAGACTTTGTCACTGTTGTTAATATTGACCTAACTCTAATAGATAGTTCAGGATCACAAATGTATTATTGTATAACCAATCAATTTCCATTATTAAAGACTTATGAAACTAAGTCAATCTTGAAAAATTGTCGTATAGGAAATAAAAAAGATTGCCTTTTGGTAAATTTGTCTTTCTTAGTAGTATGAGACACTTAGAGCATGCTCATTAATACTAAAGTGATTTGCTACTTATCTAATCAAGAAAACCCCAACAGACCTAAAACATTAGTTAGAATAAGAAGAGTTTTTTTTTTACAAAAAGAGGACAAATTACTATTAGGATTTCTATATCTGTGAGAAAGGAACTGTCCCAAGATATCTGAATGATTTTTTAGGTTAGTTGGACAACCCTAGATGTTGATGGCAGAAATAATGAAAATTCTCAGCAAAGGCAGAGGCTTGCCTGAGTAGGTGGACTAAGTGGAAAATTATCTGGTGATATACATTTTCAATTATTTTCCTTGGTCTATTTTGAGTATTGCCAATGTAAATTTACACACTGAATTTCTCAGTCTTCTTAGATTCTATTATATTCTGCAGAGTCTTTAAAAGTTGTCAGGGCCCAGCACTAGATGGGCCAGGAATTATACTACAGAGGGAAACACAATTTCAAAATTATCTTGAAGATGAATGGTTTCATCTAGCTGCACTGTTCAAATCTGAAGGTAATTTGGAGACTGGTCATTTTTAAATCTTGGTTTTTATTTCCAAACCTTGAATATTTCAAAGAAAAAGCATTGAAAGTCTAAGTTTACTTTTTAGAGTTGAAGCAGAAAAAGACATTCAATGCTTTCATATATGATATCTTCTACGTGTCTGTGTCCATGGAGGCAGAAGTAGGAGGAGAAGTAGCAAGGGTTTTGTTTAATTCTCACCTCACTGTGGTGTGGATTTTGTGTATGTCTGTTTCTTTCGTACAGTGAGGTTAGACTGACCCTTTTTTGTGTCTCTCTCAGTGAAGGTATTTCACTGAGTTTTATTAAATAAATTGCTCACTTCATTCAGGGGAGAAAAAAAGGTGAGACAGATCCGGAACAATGTCATTCTGTATAGATTAAGTACAGGAACACAGGATGAGGAAATCCTGAATCAGATATTGTCACTATAACTTCATCTTTTTGTTTTAGTTTGATTACCAGAACTAGACAACCCTTCATTCAAATGAAAGTACAAAAATACATTTTGTTGCCAAGTGCAATATGACTGTTGAGCTTGTCTGTATCTTTGAAATTGTCTGTATCTTTGCTCTGTTCCGATAACAAAAAAGATGAAGGATAAAAAATAATGGCTTACGTTAGTTCTTTCAAAATGTAATCTTTGCCTTTTTCCTTTAGTTCTCATCAAAGATCAACGGGGCTACAGAGTTCTACTGTAAAGTAGACCAATGTTCAATGGATCATGAAAATTGAATTAACACTGCTTATAACAAAGATAATTTTCTTGTATGTCTGAGAAAACTGAGGTACAGAAACTTCAGTGTCTTTATTCATTCATTCATTTATCCATATAACAAGTAGTTATTGTGTCACCTTCACAGACCATATCCTCAGTAAGTACTGAAAAGTTGCTCTTAGCAATAAGAGATACGGTTCCTACCTCCATGGAAATTCCTACTTCCTCCACTGCCGAAAAAAGTACTGGAATTGTGGCTAGAAGTCAGGTCTTTTGATTCTTACTCAAGTGGTCTTTCAGAGGCACCAATCTGCTTTTCTTAGAGAGAAAGAGACAAGGTATCATGATAAGGGTAATTATCAGATAAAAGTAATAAGTGGTAAAAGTGAATGTTTTATATTTTGCCAGCCATGAATTGTGAGTCTCTACTCAATGAGGTCCATAGGTTTTGTGACTAAGAACTATTTCATTAGTAACTTATGCAATAAGTGAACCAGAGGCTAAGTAAACTTTCCTCCAAATCACTTCTATTGTGTGGGTGTGTATGTTTAACTCCTGTGAAATTTTACTAAATACTCCTGCTGAATGTTAATCATCATATGTCCACTAATATAATACATTCTAGATTAATGACCCTAGCTTGATTATGTGAGTCTAATTTTTTTCTATTCAAGATTTGTGGGTATGTATATGGAACTTATGAGTATAAAGTAAAAAATTTCTGGAAGTGGAGTATTTTTCAATAGAGATGTTAAATGGTAAAGTAATATACTTCTTCATTTTACAAAAGGATTATTGAGTGTCAGAGTAGATAAGAGAGGCCAGCACATAGTTAAACTTGGATCACAAGCTATGAGCTGCTTGTGGTAAATAAACTGAAGAGTGGCATGTAGAACATTCCACAGGGGGGAATTTCTGGAACATTCTACAGGGAGGAAATCTCAAACACAGCTCTTCCTAGCCTGGGCTAAATCAGCCCTTACCTTGTGTTCAAACCCCTTCTTTTCTTTGTCTAGTAAACTTCTCCATTTCTTCCATTCTTTCATGAATCCACATCTAACATTTAATAACACAATTTCCTTTTCAGCCCCCATTCAGTTTCTGTACAATAACTCTCTAGAAAATCTAAATGAAACCATCAACATTTTCACTTTAACTGACATCTTAATATGATTTCAATGAGTGTCAGGAAGGAGAGCAAGCACAGTGTTTGTCCAGTTGCTGGCGTTGTCCTCCTCAGTCCAGAAGAATCCCTGCTGCGGTGAGCAAGGGAGGTGGCTTGCAAAGGTCCTAGTCAAGGCTGCGGACTCTTACACCAGTCTGCCTTTATCTTCTCTCTGAATTCTGGTGATATATTTTCTATTTGGTTACATTAAAGCTTTATCTTCTTAAAAAGATGTCATGCTTTTCTAACTGCAATATTTTGTTCCACCGCTCAAAAAAACCCATCCTGCCTCCCTTTAGCCTCCCCCACCTCCATCGTTCTTTTCTTCCTTACACTTCCTCACCTTTTCCCAACCTTCCTTTTCTTCCCTTGTCTTCACTGTTTATTTTCCTCTTCTCTTTCCTAACCTTGCTTCCAAAGCCCTTAATGAGCTGGTACTTTCTTAATTCTCTCAATTTTCTCCTCACTCCTCTCCTCTTTCATTAAGCCTCTGCCACCCTGGCTTTCTTTCTGAATTTCAAACATGTTGAATTTACTGCTGTCTGGAACACTTTCTCTCCCATTCCTGAGGGATGGGCACCTCTTTGTCACTGAAATCACAGCTTAGATACCAGCCCACAAAAGAATGCTCCTAGATCATGCATTTTCTCATATGACACTATTTTAATCACCTATAAAGCACATGTTGCTGATTTATAGATATTTACAACACACAAACATATATAGAATGGATATACTAATTTATTTGGTTAAAGAATACTTCTAAGGATGTCCCATAATTCTTTGACTTCATATTTTGCCTTCTATCATCAGAACATAATTTTGTTAGAGGAGAACCTCTGTTGTGTTCACTGCTTTAGCCCTAGTGGTTGGCCCAAAAC